CCATTCTACTGTGTCCCGGAAAGTCTCATGTATGTACCTGTCTCCTTTAGCTCCTCCAGTTCAGACACTCTGATCTCCAAAGCCCATACACGGTCTCTGAGGGCCAGGAGCTCCTTGCTCCTAATGCACACATATGCAACCTGCCCATACGACAGATAATCATACATGCTGCATTGAGTACAATAAACTGGATAGCCCCCACTCTGTTGCTGGACTTCTGCCTGCATTCTCATTCTCCCTCATTCTGCCTGCAGCTCGTTCCTTTGTTGTTGTTGTTTTGTTTTTATCAGGGGGTGTATTTGGCCTTAAGTTTAAAGAATGTTAAGTGTATCTAGCCCCCCACTCTCCCACTAAACTCCCTCACAAAACACCCCTGTTCGCTAGCTCCTCTGGTCGCTTAGGAGCGGGCTTTTTAAAGCCCTGGTCTTCCTCAGTAGCCCCGCCCCCTGGTTAAGGGTTGATGGGTGCTAAAGGGCTTAAGGATCAAAGCCTCGTTAAGAACTCTCAGCCTTGCTTAGCAGGCCTCTAGGCTCAGCACACAGTCCTCCAAACAAACAGACCACACTGTATATTTCAGTCAAGCAGCAAGCACTCCACAAATACACACACTACAGACAACAAAGTTACCCCAAGGGTCATGTCATTGCTTTTTTTCAAAGTACATGTGTTTTGTCATATGTCACGCATAATGCTCAAATGTCCTATTGAGAGGGCCAAATATGTTTACTACTGGTATTCAGTTTGTATTCTATATAAACTCATTAAAAAGAAAGAGGAGAAATCATGTTCACTGCATGCAATTTACTGCTTCTTCTCTCTTAAATTTTGTATAAATGTACAAACAATAACAACTGCTCTTCCTTGGGGCACAAATCCACTAAATCCTCTTGATTGATTTATTTTACATCTCATGTCCTTTCCAATGTTTATATTTTATATTTTAAAAGAACAAACTCTATCCCCTTGACTAGAGGTAATTGATAAACACTGAAAAAGTAAAACTTAACATAACTTTGAAGTTGCAAAAGACACTTCAAAGCAAGAAAGTTCAGAGTTAGGACTCAAACTCCACCTTTAATTTGGCCCACTGCATCTAAGTATTAGAGAACTCAAAGAAACATACACATTATATATTCCAGGTATGTTGCTATCCAAGATACAATAGGATTTTTAAATTAGTTTGCTTCCATATGAAGAGGCAGCACCTCAGCAGTTATGAGATCAATAATACAACAGAGCATAACAGCACCTTTAGAAGTTTCTTCTAACCTTTAGGCACACACCTTACTCCCATTAGCCTTAATGGAAGTCACATGTGCATTGAGGGGGGAAATGGGCCCACTTAAAGTAATACAATGTATACCTATAAATCTTCAGGTCATGCTTAAGGTCAAATATTCTAAAAATAACAGGAGTACTTGTGGCACCTTAGAGACTAACAAATTTATTAGGTGCCACAAGTACTCCTGTTCTTTTTGCGGATACAGACTAACACGGCTGCTACTCTGAAACCTATTCTAAAAATGTTTATGAAGAGTACTTACTAGGCAAGCACAGAGGCCTCTTCAGCATTGGGACAGATCTACAGGCTATTAAATCTATAGAAAATCTTTGCTTTTTAAACCAACGCCAAGCACTCAAAGTAGTAGAAATATTTTAGGGTGTTTTTTTATGGGGAATGGGGGCATTTTTCTATCATGTCGTTCAAGTGTTAGGGGGTGGGAAGGGGAAATATGACAAGGAATACTAGGCATGAATGAAAGGTATGCATCTTATTTTAATTTTTCCCTCCATCCCTCACTCCCTCCTCAAATTCCAGTTCCTTAGTTGTGCTTCTTTGCTGTCTGTGTAGAGTATTAACACCAAAGTGACTGCACTACTGATCTCTGAAATATGCTACATGGACATCTCACAGATCAAGAGTTTAATTATTTTCATTTTCTGTAAAGACACTCAAAAATGCAGTAGATGACCACAGTTCAAGAACTATGGTTGAAGAAAGACAGAGAGTGGAAAATTTTTCAAACTGGAAATAGAAAATATCTCACTGTATTAGCCATCTACTTCTTGATGAGAATGGTATTGTAACTTAAGCACCGGTAAGTCTTTACTCTTCAATTTCCAGCAATGCAATTTACAGCTTCTCTTCCTTAAATTTTGTATAAATGTACAAATCAGTTCCAGCTACTTAATCTGTAAAAGTGGTCTGATCAGGAATGGAATTGTTAGATACACATCTTCATACATGCTGTGTCCTGAAGTGGAGTTATATTACTAGACAGTGGATCTACATTTTCTCATGGTACTAGGTTGAATTCCATACTAACACACCAGTAAGGATAGCAAGAGCAATTAGGTGCGTCAGAAGAAAATAGAAGTAAGAATGCATAAACAAACTAGGGAAATGCAACTAGATGGAGCTACTATAAGTTGAGCGCAAAACTGGTTGGAAAACCGTTCCCAGAGAGTAGTTGTCAGTGGTTCATAGTCATGCTGGAAAGGCATAACGAGTGGGGTCCCACAGGGATCAGTTCTGGGTCCGGTTCCATTCAATATGTTCATCAATGATTTAGATAATGGCATACAGAGTACACTTATAAAGTTTGCAGACAATACCAAGATGGGAGGGGTTGCAAGTGCTTTGGAGGATAGGACAAACTGGAGAAATGGTCTGAAGTAAATAGGATGAAATTCAATAAGGACAAATTCAAAGTTCGCCACTTAGGAAGGAACAATCAATTGCACACATACAAAATGGGAAATGACTGCCTAGGAAGGAGTACTGCAGAAAGGGATCTGGGGGTCATAGTGTCCCACAAGCTAAATATGAGTCAACAGTGTAACGCTGTTGCAAAAAAAGCAAACATGCTTCTCGGATATATTAGCAGTAGTGTTGTAAGCAAGAAGTAATTCTTCCACTCTATTCCGCGCTGATTAGGTCTCAACTGGAGTATTGTGTCCAGTTCTGGATGCTACATTTCAGGAAGGATGTGGACAAATTGGAGAGAGTCCAGAGAAGAGCAACAAAAATTATTAAAGGTCTCAAAAACATGACCTATGGAGGAAGATTGAAAAAATTGGATTTTTTTAGTCTGGAAAAGAGACGACCGAGATGGGACATGATAACAATTTTCAAGTATGTAAAAGGTTGTTACAAGAAGAAAAATTGTTTTTCTTAACCTCTGAGGATAGGACAAGAATCAATGGGCTTAAATTGCAGCAAGGGAGGTTTAGGTTGGATATTAGGAAAAACTTCCTAACTGTCAGGATGGTTAAAGACTGGAATAAATTGCCTAGGGAGGTTGTGGAATCTCCATCATTGGAGATTTTTAAGAACAGGTTAGACAAACACCTGTCAGGAATGATCTAGATAATACTTAGTCCTGCCATGAGTGCAGGGGACTGGACTAGATGACCCTCAAGGTCCCTTCCAGTTCTATGATTCTATATCTGATCTGTCACACAACAGCTGGTTTGGTTTTTGTTTGTTGATGGGGGGGAAGTGGGCTTTTTGTAAGTATCGTATATGGCGACTGCCTTCTTTGCAACATGTCTGTACAGTGCCTAGCACAATGGAGCCCTTATCTTTGATTGCAATTCAAAGGTGCTACCATATATAAATAATAATAAGATTCATTATATGCCTCAATTAAACATTCACCCCAGTGATGGCTGCATTTCAGTGGCATGTCAAGTGCTTTGGGTCATGTAATGGTAAAGAAATCTATCAACAGTTTAGGTAGGTGAGGTGGTGTTGGTGTCGAAATGCTTGTCTTCAGCACCTCTTTATTGGTTGTTGACATCTCTCCTCTCTAGTCTGCTCAGATTCTCATGAAGCCAAGTGCACTTTTTCAGTAACTACTCATCTGGTGAGTCCTGGACAAGTATCTGCAGCTGTATCCCCTTCTCTGCTATATCTTCCCCATGTTACTTTATCTCCATCACCTCCTAGAGCATTTAGACTACACAGATTCTCACCACCTTGATTAGCCATTTCACACACACACACACACCAAGCTTTTTCCACCTATACAATCCAAGAGACGGGGGAGTTTTATGGTGGGAGAGCAGCTCTTGCTGCAGGTAGGGCGGGGGCAGGTGGGGACGGATAAGGCTTCACAGAGAGCAACAAAACGCATGTGTTTGCTTATCCTGCCAGTAACAGGATGTGGGATGGACCGGGGAAGTGAGGGGTGAAAGCCCCCAAATGTGAGGATGATGATTTGCGTTTGAAAGGGCTGGGCCGGGCCAGAGGGTGACTTTGCCAGGGGCAGAGACAGAGTTGGGACGAGGGGGGGAGGGGTTGATAGCGGGGGAGATTTTGCCGGGGAGTTGGAACCGGGGGAGATTCTTAGGGGTCCGAATGGGCCTGGTTGGGGACGGGGGTGATTTGCCGGGGGGAGGGTGATTTTGGCGGAGGCCGGAGGGAGGCAGGTTGGGGACGGGGGTGATTTTGCCGGGGGAGGGGGATTTTGGCGGAGGCCGGAGGGGGGCGGGTTGGGGACGGGGGGGTTTTGCCGCGGACGGGCCGTTGCTACAAAACACAAAGTTTTAAAAAGGTGGCAGGAGAAGGAACGAAACGCAGACCCCACATTAAAGCAACATTCGGGGCAGGCGCCCGGGCAGGCCGCGCAGGCCCCAGCCCCCTCCCTAGAGTTTACCGCGCTTCCCTCCTTACACACACCGCCTCGTCAAGTCGCTTCCTATCAGACTCACCCCCATTGCTCTCCTTCCTCTGATTGGTTGAATGGTTTGTCAGTTAAATAGCCGCTACTGTTGTCAGCCCCGGAAGCGCGAGCCTGACTACGGTCCCGGGTCCCTTAAGTTAGGCGAGGAGAAGCTTTGCTCGAGCTCGATGGCATTTCCTGTTTAGTCGGGGGCACTCTAGGCGGCTGAGTCTATATCTGTGGTATCTGTTGGGCTGTGTGACGGCCGTTCTAGGCAGTGGGCGCGGGCTCCATGATCCGGGTTGCAAATTGCTGTTAATAGCTGAGCCAGCCCTGGTACCACACGGCGGGGCGAGTGGGAGCCGGCTCACCGGGTGCTTCGCCTCCCACTAGCAGGCGGCGAGAGGGAAGCTCAGGTTCTCCTCGCCTCAAAGCCGGGGGGCGAGCGGGCCGGCCGAGCCCGCCCCTCAGCGCCAGGCTGCTCTGGGCAGCAGCCAGGACGGCAGCAGAGGTCAGTCTGGGGCAAACCGGGGGCAGCCGTTTGAGGAGTTCGGGGGAGAACAAGGATGCGGCGGGGCAGTGGCGGAGGGGGAAGCTGTGGCGGGCCAGGGGGCGACCAGAGCGGAAGGGTCTTGGGGGGAGGGGTCTGTTTATTTTAGTGAATTTCAGGTTCTTATTTCTCAGACGTAGGAAGGCAACTCCCCTTCCCTAAAAGTTCACCATTAATGGCCCCAGAACTGCCCCTGCCTGGGGGACTAGGAGCGCTCAGGCACTGCCTCTGGCGTAGTCAAAGACTTGGGCCTGGCATCAATTTTAATAGGCTTCCAACTATGCCAACTGGTAACTGGCTGGCAGCAAGGGTCACAATACAATGGTGATAGGAAAGCCTCCTCTAGCTCTTCTGTGCGGCCTTTGATCTCCTGCCCATTTCTCTTTGATGGAGGCCTATGGAGAGACTACAGGGCCCACCCAGCCTGGAATGTGCCATGTCCAAAGTGGCAGCTATAGGAACCCTGCAGGCCAGGTCCTGTAGTCTTTGGCCACTAGACCTTTAGGATTAAGATGGGGTGTTACATACTGGGGTTGTAGTCTTTGCTATGCTCATTACACATTGGGGCTGTTCTCTGCTGAGGATAGCTGCCCTCTGGTTTCACTTGGACAGCTCCTGATGACCAGTTGAGTGGAGTATGAGTGTTACACAGTGAATACAGTTTTATCCCTTAACCTGCTAGTGTTAAACTTATTTTTGAAGGCAGCTGAATTCTATTTTTAATTTATAGACCAGGGTTAAAAAAATTAGGACTGTACATTCCCTTCAGTCCATAGCAATCACTATTTCTCTTTCCATCCACTTCTGCCCCCAATATCAGTGGTAAACTTGCACAAAGGTTGAGGTGCACTGTTTGTGCAGGGAAAAGGGCCTGGTTGTAGTAAACTAAACTTTGTTATTAACTCACAAGTCAACATCTCAGAGTAGGTAAATGTTCACATTTAGGACCACCATTATTTCTACCCTTTATAGAGTCAATTTCTACATTTTTCTTCTTTCCCCATCCTATTTTCTCTATTTATATCCCTCTTCTATTTTCCTTCCTGTGCAGTAGCTCCCAATTTCCATTCATGTGTGGTCTTCATCATCCCCAGCTCATCTGATTAAGTGATCATCAATAAAATTGTTAAATATTTATATTTGTGTCAGCATTTGTCTCTGGAATTAATATTCCAATTAGATTAAATTGGCGTGAAGGAATTCATACCTTGATCATTCATACCTTGATCATTGCCTGTTAGGTTCACTCCCTCTGGGGCACCTGGCATTGGCCACTGTCGGTAGACAGGATACTGGGCTAGATGGACCTTTGGTTTGACCCGGTACGGCCTCTCTTATGTATGTTCTTATGTTATACCTGAAATCTATTTCAGGCTGTCCACAGACTTATGAAATTATCACATCAGTTACTCACTTTGCAGTTAGAGGGTTAACTTTATAACCATGATGTCTAGAATTTTTTTTTTTTTTTAATTATGTTTCAGTAGATTCTGAATAGATCATCCAGGCCACATAGATACGTCAAGAGCAGTAGATCAACTATGCATAGCAGGTGTTTGACAACTATGACTTAACTCCACCACCACCACCAGCACTCCTTATGGAAATAGTCAATAGTATCCATATTGGAATATCTACTACAGTTATTAATATGCACCTTAAAAGCATCATCTTGGAACAAAAGAAATTAAATTCGTCTTTTTCTTCGGAAAGAATAAGAACATGAGAATAGCCGTATTGTGTCAGACCAATTGTCCATCTAGCCCAGTATGCTGTCTTCCGACAAACATCAGCACCAGCCACTGAGAGGGAATGAACAGAACAGGGAAATTTATTGAAGGATCATCCCCTTTTATCCCGCTACTAGCAGTCAGAGGTTGAGGGACACCTAGAGAATGGGGTTGTATCCCTGATCTGAGTGAATAGCCATTGGTGGACCTACCCTCTGAACTTGTCTAATTATTTTTTGAGCCTTGTTATAGTTTTGGCCATCAGAACATCCCCTGGCAACGAGTTTCACAGGTTGACTGTACATTGTGTGAAGTAGTACTTCCTTTTGTTTGTTTTAAACCTGCTGCCTATTAGTTTGATTGGGTGACCCCCAGGTTCTTGTGTTATATGAAGGGGTAAATAACACTTCCATATTCACTTTTTCTACATCCTTCATGATTTTATAGACCTCTATCATATCCCCACTTAGTTGTCTCTAGTCCAAGCTGAACCAATCCCAATCTTTTAATCTCTTCTCCTACTGAAGCTGTTCCATACCCCTAATCGTTTGTTATCCTTCTCTGTACTTTTTCCAGTTCTAATTTATTTATTTTTTGACATGGGGTGACCAGAACTGCATATAGTATTGAAGATGTGGGTGAACCGTGGATTTATATAGGGGCATTACGATATTTTCTGTCTTATCTATCCCTTTGGTAATTGTTAGCTTTTTTTGATCACTACTGCATATTGAGTGGATGTTTTCAGAGAACTATCCACAATAACTCCAAGATCACTTTCTTGAGCTATAACAGCTAATTTAGACCCCATCATTTTGTATATGTGGTTGGGATTATGTTTTTCAAAAAGCCTTTATCAACATTGAATTTCATCTGCCATTTTGTTGCCCAGTAACCCAATTTTGTGAGATCCTTTTGTTACTCTTCACAATCAGCTTTAGACTTTTTGAGTAATTTTTGTGTTGTCTGAAATCTTTGCCATCTCACTGTTTATCCTTTTTTCCACATCATCTATGAATATGTTGAGCAGCACTGGCCACAGAACAGATCCTTTGGGGGCCCTGCTATTTACTCTCTGCTGTGAAAACTGACCATTTATTCCTACCCTGTGTTTCCTATCTTTTAACCACTTACTGATCTATGAGAGGACCTTCCCACTTATATCCCATGATTGCCAACTTTGCTTAAGAGCCTTTGTTATAGGACCTTGTCAAAGGTTTTCTGAAAGTCCAAGCACACTATTTCTATTGGATCGTCCTTGTTCACATGCTTATTGACACCCTCAAAGAATTCTAATAGATTATCTCTCACCAATCTCCCTTTACAAAAGCAGTGTTAAGTCTTCCCCAACATATTGTGTTCATCTGTGTCTCTAATAGCTTTTCTATAGTTTCAAGCAATTTTCCTGGTATTCAAGTTAGGTTTTCTGCTCTATAACTGCTAGGATTGCCTCTGCAGCCTTTTAAAAAAATTGGTGTTACATCAGCTATCCTTCAGTTATCTAGTACAGAAGCTGATTTTAAGCAATAAGTTATGTACCACAGTTAATGGTTCTTCAGTTTCATATATGAGCTCCTAGTGATTTATTACAGTTAAATTCATCACTGTTCCAAAACCTCCTCTATTGACACCTCAATCTGGGACAGTTCCTCAGATTTGTTACCTAAAAAGAATGGCTCAAATTTGGGAATCTCCCTCACATCCTCAGCCATGAAGACCAAAGCAAAGAATTCATTTAGTTTCTCCACAATAGCCTTGTTTTCAGACAACTTAAAATGTAGTGACACTTTCTTTTGTGTATATCAGTTTGAACCAACCTATTTGAAGCATATTGTCCAGTGCACAATATTCCATCTTAATCAGAGTGGAATTTTTTTAAGAAAATGAGTTATGGCTAGGTGCACAGGAATGTTCTTCCTCTACTAAGCCCATGGCACCTCCCTTAAAGTATTTTCTTAGCTATACAGGCAGTCCTCGGACTTACGACATAGTTGGTTCCTGAACATTGCCTCGTAAATTGAAATGTCATAACTCGGAACTGCAATCCACTCCATTGTGGGACCGAGCGTCGTAAAGTCAAAACCAATTGTCGTAAGTCAAATCGGGGTCAATTCAGAAATGTTGTAAGTGCCGTTCTTCATAAGTCAAATGTTAAAGTCAAGCACTGCCTGTATAAACAATTGTGTGTATTTTGCAAACATCTTATTTAGGTCCTCCCTTGTGCCTACCAATTTAGGCAATATTCTTCTAAAGTGACGTTTCTGCCATTCTGTGTGCCCCACAAAAGAAACAGTAAAAACTAGCAATTGAATATTACTAAAATGAAACTAAATTGGAACTACTCATGTAAAATGATGTAGTGCCAGAAGCATTGGTAAGATACTTGGAAGGAAGGCCTTAACGATTAAGAGGAAAATTTGAGAGGCCGCTAGAATAGTTTCTGATCCTGCACAGACCTCTGAGACTCCTTTACCCATACAATCCTGTTGCCTCAAGCTAGTGTAGAAAATGGCAACAAAAATGTTAACTGCACTGGCTAAAAACAATTCTGCTTATGTCACTCAATGCACACTGTTTGGCTCTTGCTAACTGTATTTATGTGTACAATTTAGATATCTGCTGAAGCAGCCATTATATTTCTTATCTGGCTTATGATTCCAATAGATGATTACTATTCACATGGACAATAAATCAACAGCTATAAGCTAAATGGTACAAATATTAATGGAGAACTATTTGACTAATCAAAGAGGAGAGGAATATTAGAAGTTTAAAAGGTGTGATGGTTCTATATTGGGGCTGTCAAGCAATTAAAAAAATTAATCACGATTAGTCATGCAGTTAAATAATAGAATACCATTTATTTAATTATTTTTGGATGTTTTCTTCATTTTCAAATATTGATGTCAATTACAACACAGAATACAAAGTATACTGTGCTCACTTTATATCCATTTTTGATTAAATATTTACATATAAAAAGAACAAGAAATAATATTTTTCAATTCACCTACTAGAAGAACTGTAGTGCAATGTCTGTCATGAAAGTTGAACTTACAAATGTAGAATTATGTACACAAAATACCTGCATTCAAAAATAAAACAATGTAAAACTTTAGAGCCTATAAGTCCACTCAGTCCTACTTTTTGTTCAGCCAATCGCTAAGACAAACAAGTTTGTTTACATTTGCAGGAGATAATGCTGCCCACTTCTCATTTTCAGGTGACACTGTAAACAAGAACAGGCATTTGCATGGTACAGTTATAGCTGGTGTCGCAAGATATTTACGTGTCAGATGCACTAAAGATTCATATGTCCCTTCATGCTTCAACCACCATTGCAGAGGACACGCGTCCATGCTGATGACTAGTTCTGCTTGATAACGATCCAAAGCAGTACAGCCTGCCGCATGTTCATTTTCATCATCTGAATCAGATGCCACCAGCAGAAGGGTGAATTTCCTTTTTGGTGGTTCGGGTTCTGTAGCTTCCGCATCGGATTATTGCTTTTTTAAGACTTCTGAAAGATGTTCTACCCCTAATCTCTCTCAGAACTCGAAAGGCACTTCAGATTCTTAAACCTTGGGTTGAGTACTGTAGCTGTCTTTAGAAATCTCAAATTGGTACCTTCTTTGCGTTTTGTGAAATCTGCAGTGAAAGTGTTCTTAAAATGAACAACATATGCTGGGTCATCATCCAAAACTTCTGAAACATGAAATATATGCAGGTAAAACAGAGAAGGAGACATACAATTATCCCACAAGGAGTTCAGTCACAAATTTAACGCTTTTTTTTTCTTTCTTTTTTTTTAAATGAGTGTCATCAGCATGGAACCATGTCCTCTGGAATGGTGGCCGAAGCATTAAGGGGCTTACAAATGTTTAGTATATCTGGCATGTAAATACCTTGCAATGTTGGCTACAAAAGTGCCATGCAAATGCCTGTTCTCACTTTCAGGTCATTGTAAATAAGAAGCGGGCAGCATATCTCCCATAAATATAAACAAACTTGTTTTTCTTAGCAATTGGCTGAACAAGTAGGACTGAGTGGACTTGTAGGCTCTAAAGTTTTACATTGTTTATTTTTGAGTGCAGTTATGTAACAAATCTACATTTGTAAGTTGCACTTTTACAATAGAGTGCATTACAGTACTTTTGAGGTGAATTGAGAGAGACTGTACTGCTTAACTTACAGTGCAAATATCCGTTATAATAATAATAATATGAAGTGTGCACTGTACACTTCGTATTGTGTTGTAATTGAAATCATATATTAGAAAAGGTAGAAAACATCCAAAAAATATTTAATAAATTTCAATTGGTATTCTATTGTTTAACAGTGCAATTAGAACTGCGACTAACTCCAAAAAATTATGCTTAAGTACCTGGATGAATCAGGACTTAGACTAGCTGCCTTTATTCTTTTCAGGGGATGCAAACACGTACATTAATGATGGTAAAAGGGCATCAGACAGCTGAACGACTCAGTTCAGTTAATAAAGATCACTTTGAGAAGCTTTATACTCTGATATGGGAAAGTATGTCCAGATTGCTCAAACTAAAGTTATAGAGGCTATGTTTCACTTCTCAAATACTGGACCTTGGAATGCATTTTAAAACTATGCAAGGATTAATGGGGTTTCTGGTAGATGCGATGTCACGGCCCTGTTCACAGTGGTGGATCATTGAGCATTAGAAATGGGTCTGCTCTACATGATTTTGGTGTTTCAAAATAAAAAAAAAGTACCAAATTAATTAATCATATAATTATCATTCATTCCTTGAGTTATTTTTCAGGTGACACTTTTTAGATATAAACTAGAAGAATGCATATTATTAAAAGTATGATTAACCCAAAAAACAAAGCTTAACATTTAGAGTTAAATACAGATATTTTCACTTACAGATAGTTCTAAATTAGAACTGACTGTTTAATAGACTCTAAATTCTGTATGGTCACACCTTAAAAGAAGAAAAAACTCTTCTCATGCATTTAGAAGCCATTTGACAAGGGAAGAAGCAGAATTTATTATGAACAAAAGCTAAGTGTTATAAGGTCAACAACCAGTTTTATAATAAAGCTAAAAAACAAAGTGTTTAAAGAGGAAGCTTTCACCTTGAATCAAAATGTTCTTAGGACTGTTAATGTTCTTTGGACATAATCTTTTCAGATGTAACTTTCTTTCATAAAGGAGTCAGTGACTCACGTGCAGAGAACTGGGTCAATGACATTTATTGCAATTCAAGATTCATATGAACCAAATGTGGACTTATGGATAAACTAAATTAAAACTTATACTATACACCATTCTGCCTCCTCCAGAGGCTTCTTAGCATAAGCTTGATAAGTTTATGGAGGGGATGGTTTGATGGGATAACGTGATTTTAGTCAATAGGTCAATAACGTGCCATCGCTGGTAATTAGTAACAATGGTCAATGAGGGTCTGGCTGGAGAATCTTGCCCGCATGCTCGGGGTTCTGCTGATCGCCATATTTGGGGTCGGGAAGGAATTTTCCTCCAGGGTAGATTGGCAGAGGCCCTGGAGGTTTTTCGCCTTCCTCCGCAGCATGGGGCAGGGGTTGCTTGCTGGAGGATTCTCTGCAACTTGAAGTCTTTAAATCATGATTTGGGGACTTCAACAGCTGAGTCAAGGGAGAGAATTATTCCAGGAGTGGGTGGGTCAGCTTTTGTGCATCATGTGGGAAAAGTCTATGAGTCTATGAGAAGCACTTTCCTGCATTCCGATGTTGACACTCCCATTTTTAATCTCTGGACCTCCTTCTGTACAGTAACACTAACTATGGCGGTGGCAAGTCAAGAGATGGCCTTTTAAAGACCGGGGAAGGTCAAGTGTGCCTATAGAAGATTAAAATAGGGGTTCAGAAAATTACCAAATGCTACTGGGTTTTTTTTGCCACTGGCAGCTTGAAAGAGAATCCTGGGGGGGAGAAAGTTCAAGAAGTTATGTACTGTACTCAATCAATGCCAAGAAACATAAGAGAACATGAACAAAGTAAGTACCTTTTAAAATGAGTTTACCAAGGAAAAAATATGGGACCTGGACCTCATTTTCACCTATGCTGTATTGCAACAAAATATACTCTACCTTCTTTCTGCCTCTTAAGAGAAAAAAATTGATAATTAAGCTTCCACTTCAAATTAATTAACATTAAACAAAAGATCACCAGTAGATAGTTTTGTGTCAAAATAAGTATATCATATTATGACTATTCAATCAGAGACCATTTCAGGATCTCTTGGCAGTGACAACAGCTTAAACTTTTTTTTTTTTTTTAAAAAGTGTGCGCATTGAGTGAGATGAGCAAATTCAGTATGTCAACAGGTGGCCAGTTAAGTCTGACTAGTGATTCCAGGCACACATGCAGTTTTGATGTCATATCCTAATAAATATGATATGTTCAATAACAAAAAAATGAAATGGACAGACATGCATTACTTATGTTAAAAGAAAGTACTGTACTTCTAAAAGCAATGTACTTCATTGACTAGACCAGAAGAGTTCACTTCAGTGAACATATTTTGGATTTATAGCAGAATTTGGGTCACTGCCTGCACAAATGCTGTGGGCCTAGGAGCAGCAGGGACATGCCGTCCGCTTCCAGGAAGCTGCGTGGAGCTGGGTAGTGAGTCTGCCAGCCCTGTCAACCCCCCCCCCCCCCCCCCCCCCCCCCCCCAGCACCAGCAGGAGTCCCAGGCTGTGCTGCTGCCCACCTCCCCGCCCAGCACCTGTGGTGCCCCCAGACTTCCCCCCTTTCTTCCCCTCCCAGCACCTGTGGTGCCCCCAGACTTCCCCCTTTCCCTGTGGTCTCTAGATATTTAAGGTGCCTCAGAATAGTGGCTAATTTCTTGTGTCCTGTTTTACAATATCTAGGCTTAATGAGTTAGAGTTGGGAATAGCACTCGTGTCTTGAATTTGTTGGTCTGGCACTAAATAGGAAGTAGTAAGGCCAGAGTCTCAATCTTTTGATCAGTTTTCTGTTCAGTCTGGAGAACTGGGGAAGAAACAGAATAAACAATAATATGATTATAACCAAAGATGGGAATGAGCAAATGGTTGAGTAATCTGTAATCTGAGTTCTAAACTTGATTCTAGCATTGACT